TCTACAGGCAGTTATGGAAGGGCTCACTGCTATTCAAGTAGAAGGCACTGGGCAGTGGAGAAAGAGCCAAGCAGACATCGGAGTGAAAACTGTTATAGGCAGTGGAAGAGTATGGGCACAGAAATGCAGAGTGTGTTTGAGGGGTAGCCAGGATACTGGAGCAGAGGGGGTAAGGGAGAGCATAAAATATGAGGCCAGCAGGGTGTGGCGGTGCACGCCTGTAATCCCAGCACTCAGGAGGCTGAGGCAGGAGGATCGCTGTAAGTTCAAGGTCAGCCTGGGCTACATAGTGACTTCAGGGCCAGCCTGAACTACATAGCAAGACCTTGTCTCAAAAAAAAAGAAAAGAAAAGAGGAAGGAAGAGAGAAAAAAGAAAGAAAGAAAAAAGAAAGACAGAGAGAAAGAAAGAAAGAAGAGAAGAGAAGAGAAAAGAAAAGGAAAGGAAAGAAAAGAAAAGAAAAGAAGCAAGGCCCAGGGCACTGTAAGGAGACATTGCAGGGTTCTAAGTAGAGGGATATTAATACAGCATGTGTTTGAAAGACTCAATCTTCCCTTATTTTGTTTGTTTGTTTTGTTTTGTTGTTTTTAAGACAAGGTCTTGTTATGTAGTCCAGGCTGGCCTTGAACTCTTGGTGATCCTTCTCCCTCAGCCTCCTGAGTGTTGAGATTACAGGCATGCACCGCCATGCTCTGCTTCAAGTTGCCTTTTTATTGAGAATATAGCATAAGAGGGGGAAGGGTGGAGGCAGAAAGAGCAACTTTGAAGCGATGGAAACCATCCAGGTGAGAGAGGATGGTCACCTAGACCAAGATAGTAGCAGCAGGGCTGGTGACCAGGAGCCAAGTTCTGGATCTGCTTTGAAGAGAGAACCAACCTTGATTTGCTGGTGAGTTGGAGGAATCAAGAGTGAAATAAACCAAACACACAAGCTTAAAAATGGCATGATTCCTCCTCTATGAGAAACCCCAAAGATAAAGAGCAAAAAATAAGATAATAGGAAGCTATTGCAGAAGGAAAGGAGACCAAGAGCTAGGGGGAGAGGAGAGGAAGGGGAAGGGGATTTAAAAAGAAGGAAGATGTGCTATGTGCATGTACCAAGTCCTCAAGACGCATGTAATCATTATATACTGAACATGGGGACTAATAAAAATAAAAATGAAGAAAAAGAATGTCTCCAAAAACTGAGATTGATGATTTTTTTTTTTTTTGGTACCAGGGATCGAACTCAATGATGTTTTTTGAGATAGGAAAGACTGGGAGGAAAGAGAAGGAAGAGGAAGAGGAAGAAGGAGGAGGGAATGGGAATGGTAATGAGAATATTCAAGAATTAGATTTGGACATGTTACGTTTGAGATGCCTACCACGTAGCCAAATGGAGATGTTGAGGAAGCAGTGGGGAAGATGTGAAGAAAAGGATTTGGGGGACATCCCTGTAAAAATGGCACATTAGGCCCTTATACCTGAGGGACATGCAGGGAGCAAGGGACTCGCAGCAAGCAACGGACTCTTAAGTACAACGTGGAATTGGCTGGAGTGACTGCCTGGTATTCCACTGTATGCATAGCCAGCATGTTATGTGGAATACATATCAAAGTATCAGTCTAGTCAGGTGGGAAATTAATTAGTGGTAGTTCAGTCTCACTCAAATGTGGCTCTTCCCATGGCCCTAAAGGACAGTGAGGTTTCTCACAGTAAATATGTAAGCCAACATTCTGGTTTGTTCAGTGTTGTGGGGCTTGAGTTATTCCAGTCTACAAATATCCACCAAGAATTTATTGTATATTCCAAGCACCATCCTGGTGCTCTATGTGATGATGAGCAGGGTGACCAGGCTTCCTGATCTTACCAAACTTGTAGCATACGGATTTGCAATAAATTAGCCTCACACATTCAGTGCTCAACTAACAGTGGAACCTGTCCATCTTCCAGGCTCTTCATCTGTTTGGATACCAGTGGTGTTAGAGTCCAAGTGAGTCTTTGATTAAGCAAATGAAAGACATTTTTTTTTCTTTTTTCCAGTTTTTATTTTTTATTAGCACATGTTTGCATAGCACAATGATCACATTCCTCGTGGGGATTTGGTACATGAACATGTCACATCTCAACTGTTTTTTCATCCTCTCCTTCCCTCACTCCATCACTTGGTCCCCTTCCCTTTTACAAACCATCTATCTCCCTTTTTCCTATTATTATCTTTTATTTTGCTTTTTATTTATATTTGGGGGTTCTCATATATGCAATTTTTTTTTAGTTCTTTTATTGGTACATTTTAGGTATACAATTCGTTTACATTTATCATTGGG